GCAGCCTGGTTGCAGCTGGCACTTTGGATCCATGCCACCTGCAGAATGTGCAGCTGTGGCTGAGAGATGTGCTGGTTCTTGATACGGTGCTGCTGTTAGGTTATGTGGGGTGGGGGAAAGATTGAGTTTGGTACAGCTGTTTCAGAAGCTCCTGCTGTCTTCCCCTGACTCCTAACTGGCTAAAACAACCTGATATGCATGGCTTTCTGGAAAATCAGGAAATAACGTCAGGAAAAATAGCATGTGCTCAGAAGCATGTTACCCAAATAAATGAAATGGGTAACGTTGCCCTGAGCAAACAGGATTTATAGCAATTTCAATATGTGGGTGTGGGAGAAAATGCAGACAAGTGTAATAAAAATAAATATTGGTTGTTTTTTCAAGCAATAGTAGTGTAAAATATTGTCCTTGGGACAGAAAAGTTACCTTGATTCTGAAATAATGCACTCGGCCTCTGGCTGTCAGTATTATATCAAAGCCTCAGTAAATTTTTCATTCCCCCAGGCATTATTTTATAGCTATTGTCTTCCATACCAAACTCCATTTGTAACATGTATTTATAGCTGGAGTGATCTTTGAGATTCTTCATAATATATAAAAATGAGGAGGCTGCCACAAAATGGCTTTTGGTTTCCTCACAGGTTTGCAAAATAGATGTTAAAAGCAGATGATTTAAAACAGCAATTTTATTAAAAATGTGTTATTGTCATTTGTAGCTTTCACAGCCTTTCACAGCCATTCACCATAACTACACTGGTTTCCAAGGATGCTGTGATAAGCTTTGAATCTGCAGGTGTCTTCTCAGATTATTTCAATCTTTGAGGCAACGAATCTGCTGGACCATATTTATGCTGAATAACTGTGTCAGATTTGTGTCAATAGAGGCTCTGGTTTGGTCTTTGGGGGGGAAAAAAAATGTATACACACAAAGGTTTTTTTCATCCTAATGGGCTGTTCTGCTATTCTGCAGACCACTTCCCAGATGGGAAGTTCATAAACACTTGTGTATGTTTCCTCTGGCTTTGGAATGACCTGCTCAGAGCTGCCCAGGCCCCAAGTGCATTTAGGGAGATCATCCTTGGGCCAACCTTCTTTGTCTAGATGACACGAGCAGTGCATGAAGCATGGTTTTCAGTGCATGGTTTTCAGCCTGGCTTCCTGTGTTCTGTTGGGTGCCTGCCTCCATCTGCGAAACTGGGATGTGCAGCTCAGCCTTGCTGTTGTTGTCAGAATTTGCCTATTGAGCCAGGTTTCATTCAGCTCTCTTCTGGTTTGAAAGGATACATGTACCAGGCTGTATCACCCTGGTTGGTCTGTCAAAGCAATACAAGCAGTTACATTTAATGAAGAGAGATTAAATCGGCCAGACTGCGCATTCAGCAGTTAAAACTCAAGATTCAATACGGGTATCTCTGGAAAAAGCTATGGGTGAGAGCAGCAGCTGGCTGTGTTAGTAAGGCATGAAGCGGTGGGAGAAGACTGGTTCTTAGAGCTGGCAAGCAGGAAGCATGTTGGTAAGGGAGTACAGATGCACATCTCAATGGTTAGATTTCTTGAGCTGGAGGACACCAACCCCTGCTGCAAGGGATCACGTTCTCTCCTAACCACACATGCTTCCAGCAAAGGCAGAGTGGAAGCATGGCTGTCCTGCCCTCCTCCCCTTTGCATACCTGTGTGAGGGACGGCGGGCGGAGAGCTGCCTCTTTGCAGGCCTGGGGGGGATGCTTTCTGTGGTGTTAGCGTTACGTTGTTTAGGCTGCTTCCTCTCCCATCTTCTCTAACTGTTGAAGAGCCAGGTAAAATAGAGGTGTGGGGAAAGCTGTGGCAGTGTGGTGCAGCCTATTGATTAAGTTGACACTTATGTCAGCAATAGTGGAGAAATCTCAGCTCGAGCAGAGGGATAATGGCTGTGCTGCAAACCCTGCTTTGTGAGCCTAGTTAGTGAGAGAAAACAATATTTTCTCTCTCAAGAAACAAATAAGATCCTCACTTGCTACATTATGGCATCAAGGAATTACATCATAAATTGCTATTTTTGTCATTAAACTGCAGGGCATTTTTTTTAAAGCTAAGTGTTCATAAACAAAACAAAGTGGAGGCATTAAAGCAGACGGGTTATACATCAAGGTAGTGACTCCATCACTTTTTTCCCCCACCTCCTGTTTTTATTATTCTTTGCTTCTGATAATAGCTTCTTTAGAGGAGGCTTTAAAAATGGATTGTCCGTGATGTTCTTCAGTGTGTCAGATATAAATAAAGAAGTGCTGCATGTTATTTTGTTGAAAGCTTCTTGTAGCACTTTGTAATCAGGGCAATTATAACTTTGCCTGTAGTTTGTCTTGTGGGTTTGCTGTGCGCACCAATTAAATCAGTCAAGAATTGAACATAATTGCTTGGCCTCCTTGTACATCTGGAAACTTGCTTAGAGTGTAGTGGTTTCTAAAGCTGACTCCCCTGGATCCTATATTATTTATGGTAGCAGTTTTTCTTATCCTTCTAAATACGCCTTGAGAGTTTTCTGCATCTTTTTTTTTTTTTTTTTCCCCCTTAACTTCTTACTGCTTCAGTGCATGGATCACAGACACAGGTAAATGATATACACCTGGAAAGTGCAGAGCTACTGCTTTCCTCCTGGGGAAGGCAGTGAGAAGAAAGGAGCAGCTGGGGTGGGCTGTGTGCAAGGCAAGGGGGGATGGGATGCTCATCTGAAGGAGCAACAGAGCCTGAGGGTTCTGTGGAGGGTCCTGATGTGAGGTGCATTCATTTGGATAGGGAGGGGTAGGAATTGGTGCCTTCAGATAGCAGCTTACCCTCTGCTCTTTCCTTCAGTATCTGCCATTCTAATTTTGTGTCCTCTTAATCTTAAACTGACCATATATGTTTCTTAGAGCATACAAGCTTGATTCTTTTTTGGAAACACTTTCTTTGCCAAAAAAAGTGAATTTATTTTACATGCTTTCTTCAGAGTACAGTCTGTGGTTTGCTTCATGGAATGGTACCTCCGATGTCCAAATGATGACCATTCACCATTCTGCTCTGCTCTTTCCCTTGTATGCTAGGATGTCCCAGTTTGATGATAAGGAGATGGCAGCTGAGCTGCAGATCCTGGGGCAACACAGCCCAAGGCTCCTGCTTTCCTTGTGGGCAGCATCTGTGGTGGATGGGCGGTTTGAATAAAGTGGGCCATCTGCTTTGCAAAGAAGTGTTTGAAGCTCTGGATTATGAAATGTAATGTCAGGGGAAAAAAAAAAAAGGAACCCAACACTGCGTTGCTGAGGGAATGCTTCTGAACAGAAACTCCAAGGTCTGAGACATTAAAGCAACCAAGACCACAACCCGTTTCTGTTGAAGGGATTCCTTATGATCCCATCATCCTTCTTAGCACTGGAGCTATAGGAGTAATAAAGGAACTGGGAGTACCTTTGGATGTAAAAATACTTATATGATGTATTAATGTTAAGAATTATAAAGGCCAAAAAGTCTCTCAAGGATGATTCCAACCTTGTGATAGCACAGCCCAAATGCTGAAGTTGGCATTGATCAAGTTTGTTGCTATGACTCTTTAAAAGCAGTAGAGCTTTGAGTTGTTATTCTTTAAAAAAAAAAAAAAAATCTGACAAATGAAATCTATTATCTAAATGCAACTGTATTTCTGCCAGGGGAGAGTGAGGGATTAATGTCTCATTGGTTATCTTATGAGATCCGGAAGTAGATTTCTTATCTCTTTGTTCTCTTGGGTTTTGTTTCCTGATTGTTGTAATTCATTCAGTATATATCTAACAAATGTATTTATTAGTGGTCTGAGAATGATGAGAGAGTGTACACTGGACTTATCAGAGAAATTGATATGTACTGTGCATTATAGACACTCTGAAGAAGTGCTCTGCTGCCAAACACTTTTACTGGTTTGTTAAAGGAGTATTAGACACTGAAGTGGCTACAGCATCGTGTAGATTTTTGAATGATACAGTTAATGACACAGCTTAAATCTGATATCTTTATTGATGACCTGGATGAGGGCATTTAGCGCACCTTCAGTAAGTTTGCAGATGACACCAAGTTGGCTGGAAGTGTGGATCTGCCTGGGGGCAGTGAGGCCCTACAGAGGGATCTGGACAGGCTGGAGAGCTGGGCTGAGGCCAATGGGATGAGCTTCAATGAGACCAAATGCTGGGTCCTGCTCTTCGGTCACAACAACCCCAGGCAGTGCTACAGGCTTGGGGAGGAGTGGCTGGAAGAGCACTGAGGAAGAAGGTGGCAGAGTCACCATGCCTGGAATTGTTGAAGAACTGTGGAGATGTACTAAGGAACACGTTAATGGGTAGTATTGGTGGTATGTGAATGGTTAGACTAGATGATCTGAGAGGTCTTTTCCAACCCTAATGATTCTGTGATTCTAGCTCATAACATAACCTGGCTATGGCTCAAAAACTAAGTGGAAGCACAAACACATGAATAACCTCTGAAATATGTCATACTTCTGCTGTTCTTCTGCCTTCTTGATAGTGGCCAGCAGGATTAGGCATTTCATGCTGAGCCTTGAGTATGAGCTAATTAAGTAGTAGTAGATGGGGCTTCAAGGAAGAGTTAGCAGTCCTTGTGCTTCTGTCTGGCTTCTAACTTATGAACTATGGCATTCAGTTGTTGTTCAGTCTGGGTTTTTGATGTGGTCTGTCCTCTGTACTGAAGGAAGTGTGTAGATATATTCTGTAGATATATTCTGAGGAATTTCTTTATTGCCCTTAGTAAATTAAATGATGTACTCTTATATAAGGGGTGGAGACTTCATATTTCAAATGAGTATATATGTATGTCTTAATCATTACATGTTCCAAGAACAGTTGGTAAATTTAGGGATGTGTGTCTGTTTCCTTGTAACAAATTTCAAAAATCACAGACTTAAAATAATCCCCATGAAATATTATTGTATGGTGTTTAATTGGATTTGATACACATATGCAATAAAATGTTGTTTTTGATTTAATCTGTGTTCTGAATAGGGTTTTTGTATAAAGTCCTGGTGTGAGGAGAAACCAAGGAAGGTGCCAGAAAACTTCTTCAGCAGATGAGGTAGAGGAAAACCTCTGGTGTGTAGCAAGATCATCATCAATGAGGAGGTATGAACTGATGGAGCAAAATGAGTTCTGAGGTGGTGAGGAAGGCTGGTGAGTTGACCATAGAAAGTGTTCTGTGTTCCAGGATTATTCTCTCACACTTACAGTCAATTAAGAAATGTAAAAATTGATGCAGCCTGAAAGATGTCTTTTGGTTATTTGTAGCCAAGATGACAATAGCAATAGGGGGTATTACTCCCAGATGTGCCTGCCATTCTCTCTGAGATACTTATAAGAACTAGCAGGTAAGTTTCCATTGTCATGACATCAGCTTACTGTAACTAAACCTTTAATTGAGATAGAGGTATTATTAATGATACTTGTGAATGCATTAAAAATGAGCTTTTTATGGTATTGGGTCTTAAAAAGCCTATGATTTTCTGGGCTATTTCTGACTTATGACAACAAAATGATGGTGATGACTGTTGCTTTTTGAGAAGGGGTGCAGGTGACGTTCAGCCCTTGCGTAGACTGGGAGCAGGCTGTGGATGGTGTTGTGCCTAGCTGCTTAGCCAGCTCCTGGCTGGGTGCTGGGAGAGAAGGAGGGCTTGGATGTTGCAGATCCCTGGAACCCTGGGTTTATAACAGCCAGAGTTCCAGAAGGAATAGGAATATTTGGCTTTGAAATAATGAAGTATTTCACAGTGTGCAGGAGAAGCTGGATTTTTTTTTTTTTTCCCTCATGAGTGTTGAGCTCTGTACCTAATAAACACTTTAGAATAACAGTGGGATGTAAAATATCCTGTCAAGTCTTAATGGAAGTATTATCCATCTAATGACAGATCATGATGGTGTGTTTAACACAGAGGCGGTGATGATTTTTGCCACATCTGTTACAAGTATGTCCTATCCAGAGCTGATGCAAATAACCTGTATTCTGGCAGTATCCCAGGTATCTTATCCTACGTGCCATCCATCTTAGCTATTTCCTTTTTTTTTTTTTTTTAAGTGATAAAATGCTATTTTAAAAACTTGTTTTAATGTTGTGTTGCTTTCTCCCCGCTTTTCTGCTTTCTGTGGTATTTCTCTATTCAGACAATAGGACGTTTTCTTTGGGGTACAGGAACAACTTCTGCATTGCTGCAGTGTTAGGGCTGGCACCATTGCTCCTGTTCCAGTTGAGACTGAGCAACCGGTTCATTCTTCATGTGCTGAGAGGTTCAGTGATACCAGACTTGAAAATGAAATGCAAAAGACTGCTAGCAGATCTTTCCCAGTAAGCCTCATTTGTTTGGTCTGTGCAAGGAGATGTGTTTCCTGTTCATTGTGTACCCTTAAGTGCTGCTGGGGATGCCCAATGCTGGGCTCTGAAAAATTCCAGGGCAGGGGAAGGACCTCTGGTGAGAAGGGACTAAAAGGAAAAATCAATTAACAGAGATGGGGGGGGGGTTAAAAAATAGAGAGAGAAAATGCAAAATCAATTAAAGCTATAGTCCAGTCCCAATCCTGCTCCAATAGACAAGTGTGGATGGCAGCCCTGAGGGAGATGGGCAGTGCAGCCTGAGATTCTTTTTTCTCTTAGTATTAAGGCCTTCAATAAATGTAGTAAAATAATACTTAATAATAGTCCTCCATCTAGCATTATTATTATTATTTTAGCTTTTAGAGTTGATTAAGACAATTGCAGTTTATGAAAATGCTGGGAGAACTTGGTTTGGAAAGTCTCCTGCAATCTTGTGTTAATCTGTGTGAATACTGACCTTCTTGAAAGCCCTCGATTTTTGGCAACTAATTGAAAGACAATTAAACACGAGTTGTGGTAAAATATAGGGAGCTCGAGGCTTTTTGTCCTTTAAAATCTATCGGGAATGTCTTCAATCAATAAAAGCCCAAATGCTTTTTCCTGTTGTTTTCCTGGCAGTGGATGAGGGACAGTATCCACATTTTTCTGCAGGGTAAACCACTGTATCCTATCCTTATTTTCTTTGTTTTCATTAGTGGGAACAAGTGTTTTCACAGCTGACTTGGAGTGCTGTTGGGAAAAACATGGGAGGGGAGATGTAATAACAGGCTTGGGATTGCTAGCTATGAGCTGATTCAAGCTCTGTAATGGTTCCTTGAAACTTTTTGTATATACTTTCTCCCAAGAGTAATACAACATTGTATAATCAGGATCAAAAGTGTGAATTTGTCGCCCCCCCCTCACCCCCACCCTTCAGTAAATTGTAGTGCTATAGAAACAGGGAGACATATACATTTATTTTCTTTGGAAGTTATGATAGAGCAAAAGAGCTGGTCTGGGGACATGCTCTTAAGACTTTTCCCTTCTTTCATCATTTGATGGTGCTCCTTTCTGCTGGCCTTAAATGCCAATCTTTGTTTTCAAGGAGAAACTCTGAAAAATAGCTTTCTCTATGGCAGGATACAGTTTGGTAGTAATACAGCTGAAAAGAAAAAATGAGTGTGTTTTTCAACTACTTCTCTAAGCAAGTTGCAGTGCTACTTTAATAAACTGAACTCAGCATAAGACTTTGAAGAATGAATGTTCCAAACATTAAAATTTAAATGCATAAACAAAACAGTTGTTTTTCAACCCAAGTACTCTGTAACTGGTGGTTTAAAAGCACTCATCTGATTTCCTTGCGAGCCAGAAGACTTGCATAAAAGCTCTTCAGTGCTGCCATAATTGGATTTTACAGGCAGCAATTTGCATCATCCTTTACCTTTGCATTTTATATGTGGAAACAGACCTGCATCTCCTTTGAGAGTGGAAGAACTGGGAGGCTGAGGAGCTGTAGATCCTTAAGGTCTTTGCATAAGTGGCTTCTCCACTTCTGGGTTTGTTTGAGTGGGAGAGGATTTGTGTGTGCGGGGTGTCAGGGCTGGCACAGGAGTGGGAAGTCACAGTGTGTTGCAAGGAAATTTAGAGGTTCTATTTCCCAATTCAGTTCCCCTTTTCTCATCTTTCTTTTCTCATCTTTCCAGTCTGCAATATTCGAAGTAAAACATGAAGAAAAACTATTTTTTTTTTTTTAATTGAGATGAAGACTGGAAGCAAGCTGAAACTTGAACTCTACTCTGTTTTTGATCTGAATTAATCCTAAAGTATGGCACAAACAGCCTGGTCTGTCCCTTTCTGATCTCAGAGGGCCTGGTGTGCCTCTTCCCCTGTGCAGAAGAAAGGAGCAATCCCAGAGCAGTGTTTAAGATGGCACTCGTGTACAGCTCGTGTAATACGGGACTCAAAATACACGATTGGAAAGGGTATAATCATCTTGATGACATCTGTGAAGACCTTTGGTTTTAAGCATAAACCATGAATGTGAAGTCGCTGAACTTAGAAGACAGCTTTCAGGCAAATTATCTGTGAATGCAATTCTATCATCGGATAATGAAAGGGTAACTGGATGAATTATAGCAAACCCTGCCAGAGGTTGCAAGGATAAGCACCTCTGAGGAAGGAAAGAGCTTGCACCAGACAGAATCACCTAGATGTTTTTGGTGCTTGCTTGACTGTGGCTTCCTGCCCTAAAGAAGGGTGCAAATTGCCATGAGAGCAGCAATCATCCTATGTCTGGTCAACAATTACAAGGGTGCAACAGGTGTATTATAGAGCAGCCTGGGACACTGGCATAAAGAGGGTCTGGAAGAAGGATTTCCTGGCTGACTTAGTTGGGCAAATCTAGCCTACCGCTTCTAACTTCTACTGAGAGGAAACTAAGGCAATGACCACGTCTGCAAATGAGAGGGAACACAATGAAGTTGAGGTTCTGAGAGAGGTTTCTAATAGTGTTCCCTAATGAGGTGAATGTTACCTGATTGTAGAAGAGTACCTGTCATTCAGCAGAATGTAAAAGCTTAAGCTCTTCATGGTAAGAGGCCGTTGATAACAGAAACAGCTTACTCAATTCTCTCCATCCACCTGCGTGCATCTCTTCTCCTGGCCTTCATGCTTGTCCCATCATCTCTTATGTTGTCAGGGTTCCACATCAGAATTACTGCTTAGTCCTTTTCAGACAGGAAATACTCTAATATATGGTGTGATATTTGTTCCTTCTTCTGTTAGTGACTGTTGTTCGTTGAGTGCATCCCTCTGCCTGTGGCAGGAGTCTCATGCTGCATGTGTTAACTTTTCTTTTTAGAGGAACATTGCTGAGAGCATAAGAGCGAGCTTGGCTCCCTTGAAGACAGTGTATCTCTGACTGCTTAAAAGTAATGTGGCTCATCCTCTCAGTGTGAGTGGGTATTTATTAACAAAATCAATCTTATATTATATGAATGAAGAGACGGCTTGGCTGTTAGCAAACCAGGGGTGAGCAGCAGTATGGTGTCATTGACTAGAGTTCAGCTGGGGTGAATCTGAGGTGCAGGACCCTTCCAGCAGTGTGATGGAGGAGCAGGATCCAGTGCGAAGGTACTGCATCAGCTGCATCTAGAGAAGCTGGCACCAGCAGCTGCTTTGTCCCTAGAGTTTTATTTTTCCTGGAGATAATTAGATATATGTATGTATGCATGCAGATATCCTGGATGTGTGTGTATGTATATACATATATATTTTAATTTGAGAGGTTGTTCTGTAGTGGTCAGAACAGAAGATGAGTGGCTTGGAAGGATTTGTGCAGATCTGGGCCTCTAGTCTCACCTACCGTAAATTCAAGTCCAGGATAGTGTTAATTATAATCTAATTTAAATATGCATTCTGTCTGTGAGTGCAATTTCTTTCCTTCTTTCTTTCTCTGGTATGAGATCTTATTAAATGTACAGCTGTCATCCAGTTCTGTTTGTTGGCACTCTGTGGCTCACTACTGTGTAAGTTATCAAATTAACTTTTTTTCCTTTCCATTATAATTACTGGCCTAATTAATAGTATAATAAAATACTACTACCCATCGGGAACAGCAGGAACTGCAAGGTGTTTCTCCTTGTAAGAGTGCCAGCACAGAGTAAGCTTCAGTTGAAATTACGGATGTTCAGCTGGCACTGAAAATATCAACTCATGGACCTGGCGCTGAGTCGTGCATTTTTTTTCCCTACCTTTGGATAGCAGTGGTGTTCTGCAGGTTCTATTCTTTCATGGTTAATCATGAATAGTAATTCTGGCTGGTCTGATGTCATGGTGGAATCCTTAATTTGCACAGTGGATTTTGCCTGCTGAGCGTGAGGAAGGGGCAGTGCTTTGCAGAGGGTGCTGGTGGTGGATCCCGCTCCAGTCTTTTTCCCAAGATAAGACTGTAGATGTCAGTGTTTAACTAGTGCAGCCTTCCTGACTGTTCTGCTGCATTAATTTAAGTCAACATTTGATTCTGGCTCTTTGCTGCAGTGGGGAAAAATGCGCCTTCAATCTGGGACTTGGTACCTGAAAAGAGCAGTCTCCTTCAATGAAATGGCACTTGATTCAAGATTCAGAAGCCTTTTTCCCTCATTCATAACAAAATTCCCACAGCGACCTTGCATCTTGCCACACACACAAAAAAATCTGAATTAGACTTGTAAATATGTGCTGTTGATTGCAAGCTGTGTTTTTTTTCTCCATGTGATAGGATGCCATACACTGCTGCCAAATGTTATTCATGAGAAGCGTAAAATAGTTCTGTGTGTTTTTCAGCACATCCCAAATTTTTATTAAGGGTTTTCATCCTAGACTTGTATTGTTTGACTCATGTTTTTAATGGGATGGCTGAAGCCTAGTGGGTCAGCTTGAAGGCTTCTGTTGTGGCAGAAGGCTGTAATTGCTTAACCCAGCAATTCTTTGCACAATATATGCAGTTTTTACTGTCTTGATTGTATAATCTGAAGTCCTGATTCTTATGCTTGATTTGAAGGGCACTGATCCTTTGTATTATTGTTTTGAAAAATGGAAGTGTGTGTGTGGGGGAATTACCCAGATTTTGGAGCATCTGACAAGCCATGGAGCTGAATTTCATGCTATGTGAAGGTTACAGATAAAAAAGCCAACTTAGCAAGTATATATTATTGTAGGTATGTTGAACATATTGCAACACGACAGCTTAATTTATGCTCCTATCCCAATTTCCAGCATAACAGGCACTGCTTATTATAAAGGCCTTCCAGGCAAGTGCATCCATCACCACCCATAACATCTTTCAGCTAACAGAATGACGTGTAAATAGGACTTGAGTTCAGTGTGCTCTGATAGTCTGGTGCCAGAATTAAACCCTGCAGAGCGCTTTCTGCTATATACATTAAAGTGCTTCTCCAGCACTCCAGTTAAAATTTAAACAGACAAACAGCATCAGGTGCAGCTGGAGGAGAGAATGAATTCCAATGAGAAATCAAAGGGAAGATTCTTGTGAAAGAATGTTGTGGGGGACGGGAGGGAAGAAGGTGGGGAGTGGGGCTCCTGCAAGGGGACTGGTGGGAAGTGGAGAGAGAACGAGTGTGTTTCATCCAGCTGGGAGCATGGATACTGCTTAACAAGGACCTGAATTGATCTCTTCTGAACCAGTGTGTGCAGTTCTGATGACCTGTGCTTGAAAATAAGCTGGTGCAAAGGAAGCCTGCTAGTGTGGTAAGGAGAATACAGAGCTTATTTTAAGAGAGGAGACTGGAAGAGGTTGGCTGGCTTGCTTAGTGTAGTATAACAAAGGCCAAGAGGGGAAATGTTTGCTTATAAATACATCAAAGAGATAAATATGAAGCAAGGAGAAAGCTCCAGCTGGAGGCCACTTTAAGATTGAGATCTTAGTAAGGGCTGTTCCTGGCACGATGGCAGGACCATAATATGCCTGTGCTCTTCTTGCCCACGGAAGGGGAGGCCCTGATACAGCCCTCCCATGGGAGTGCTGGAAGACAAAGCACTGTACTGAAGGTGGTGACTGACAGCCTGAGGGCTGGCAAAAGAAGAGGTGATCCTTAGAGCAAGTTATCACAGAATCCTTAGAGTTGGAAGGGATCTTTAAAGGCTGTCCAATCCAACTCCCCTACAATGAACAGGGGCACCACAGGTAGATCAGGTTGCCCAGGACCTGGTCCAAACCTTGCCTTGAAAGTCTTCAGGGATGGGGCATCAACTACGTCCCTAGGCAGCCTGTTCCAGTGCCTCACCACCCTCACTGTAAAAGACTGAAGAGAGTCTCTTGGAAGAAGAGAGCACACTGGTCATGATGCTAAAGGACCTTCCAGATGGGAATCTTGTGACTTGATCCTGTACTCATGTTTCTGTTAATGCTTATGGGCTCCAATGGAGCTTGCCACAGGCAGGAGGGTTTGCCCTCACAGATGTCAGAGTAAAGCTTTTACAGAACCTTTTAACAGAAGGATTTCTCATTGTTTGCTTTGTGGCAGCCTGCCACTTCTAATCAAATCTAAACTCAGAGGGCTTTCTGGAGTATGGGAAGGCTCTGGGGTAGAGCTGGAAATAACAATAACCCAGTTGTCAATCAGAGAAATGCAGAATGGTTGAACCCCCAAAGGCATACTGTAGGTTCAGCTGTTGGCCAGCCTGATCTGGGCTCCATCTTCAACTTGGTGTCTCATATTTTGGGTGAGTGAGCTTAGTTCCAGCAGAGTCCAATTTTTTGCTCTTCTGATCAGTAACGTTTCTGTAAAAAACAATAAATAAAACAAATGCAAATGGGTATTGGAAACAGACATATGCTAACGAGATCTCTGAGGAAAGTGTGTTGGAGGGAAAAGCTGGGAACAGTGCAGTGGGTTTTGCCAGAGTCCAGGTGGTTGTTAAAGGTGCTCAGACTGCCACATCTATCTCCATTAATGTGAGGTGCAGGCTGTTTTCCTTTATTGCAAAGTTGCATTCATTTGATTACATACAAAGGCAGCTGCTGCTGGCTTAGCTCGTCTCTGAAATCCTCTAAAATCATTTCAGCTGTCACTGTACAAGTTGGGCATAAAAAGCAGTGTTTCCTAACTTTATGAAAAGATTTTACAGTGTGCTGTGGGAAATAACTAAATGGCTAGCAAGATTTCTTTACTTGAAATATTAATTTCCATTGTTTCTGAGCTCTTTTGTTCAAATGCATGTTAGGAAATGCTACTTACATCAATAAAAGCCTGAGGCTTTATTAATGTAAAACTCTTAAATCTGCTAGCAGGAGAGATTTTTCATTGCTCTATGCACCTCTATAGAAATACATAAAAGTGAAAGAATAAATGATAGGGCCCAATATTGCTGTGTAAATGTGGGCAGGTCAGGGGTTCCTGAAGCAGATGCATTGTATGTGGCTCAAAAGGGGGAGTGTGGAAGACCCACAGGCTTTTAACACCATGCAGAGGATATCCTCTTTCCATGCCACTAATTGCCAGTGGTTTAAGTGGAGTGGCTGTGCCCTGCGCCAGGTTCTGTCACTGGGAGCCCTTTAAATTGAAAGCTGACTTAAAGCTTTGCACTGAACAGCTCTCAGGAGAAATGCTTCAGAGCAAAGAGTAGTAAAGAGGAAAAGTTTCCCTCTGGGAAGATTTGTCTGGATTATAATCAAACATAGAAGGTACAGTGGTCCAGTTCCCCCCAGGAAGAATGTGTCCAGTTTTCCTCATTGGACTGAAGTTTGGCTATAGCTTGAGGCCCTTCCTTTCTTCAGCATCACATAGAACAGCTTTTTTGCTTTGAGAAGGCATTGCCAAAGTAACTGTATTGCTGAAAAATATATCCAAATCCAAAAACATTGACTGCATCCTATTTTTGTTGGTGAATTTGTTCTGTGTTTGTGAATCACCGGCACCTCCTACAAGCAAACCTGGTCAGGTCTCTCTGCTTGCACGTTTCCTTTGCCTGCTAGCTGATCTTAGAGCTTCTGTCACTTGGAAGGAACGTGCTGAAAGTCAAAGCCCCTGCCTCCCAGGGAACCTGGAGGTTCAGAAATCCACTGAGCTCTGCGCTTTTCCTGCTTCTTACAGGAATTGGCATTCCAAGTCGAAGCAGACTGCATTTTTATGAAGAGTTTGCAGTGGGGAAAAATAATGCTCCAAGGGTTTCTACATCAACATTTCAGCTTGGATTAAGTACGTTTGTTTACCTCATGGGACAGTCTTGGAGTGTATAACCAGGGTTCACTTTGGATGAAACTGAAATACCAATATTGTCTAGAATTGCATCCAATATACTCCAGTGACCAAAGGATGCTGTGGTCTTGGGGCTATCTGGATTTTGCCTGAAAGTGGACCTCTGTGTGTAATGCAAATATTGTCCCTTCAGCACCAATTGCATTACTCTGTAGGTCTGCCTCCATTGTACTGTGCTACTTGTCAGAGCAGACAAACCTGTGCTCCTTTAAAGCTGATAGCGAAGTACCACTTTGATCCACAAATTCATTCAGTGCCAAGAAGATAATCCCATGGAATGCATGTAAATCGCCAGTAGACAGCCATTCTTCATAACTCTGTGACTTGCAGTTAAGACTAGTGTATATCTTGGCATTGTGGGTGTAAGTTACACTATAGCTCAAGGTAGGATATTAATATTTCCTTAATCCACTTCAGAAACAAACACTCAAACAAACACTCTGACAAACCAAACCTGATTTTGGAACAGTCCTAAAACAAGCAGCTCAATCGGTTGTCCTGGGAAGCCATGTTCCTTGTAGTCATTTCTAACTGGTTGGTGAGATGCTCAGGGAAAAGCCAAGACTGGCATTCCTGGTGAAAGAGAAATGCTCTCATGCTGGAGCAAGCTGTAGAACGTGCTTCCTTTCTCCTGACACCTTGTTCTTCAGGTAGAACTGTGCTGCCCTTGACCTTAATGTCAGAATTCCTTTGGATTCCAGCAGATTAAGGCTTTTCTATCAGTCAGCCTTTGTCTGACATCAGGGCTGTGTTGCAGGAAAACCTCTGCCTGGATTTTCATCTGCAGCATGTGGATTTGCATATTTCCCTCTGATGTGCTGCCCACCTTTTGTTCCTTTTACTTCCTTATAGCAAAACAGAATGTTACTGTAGGTGGTAGAAACTGGTGACATAACGCTGATGAGAGGCTCAGTGCTGTGTTAGAGGAAATAGTATCTCATGCTCTGGCAGTGGGTATGAGTGGGGGGGAATCTTGTGACTCACTGAGCCTGTATGTGGCAAGTTCTAAATTACGATCCCTATCAATTTATGTGGGGCTTGGGGTCATACTGGGCAGTGTTTCCTTTAACTTGATTTAAATCGTGTCAAGTCCCTGGGTTCTGGGGAGAAGAGGGAAGGTTGTGTAATTGCAGAGCATTAAAATCCTCAGGCAGGGTTAGTTCAGAATATGAAAACTCAATTACTGGTTCTGGCACTTGCTGATACATCACAGGTTTTCTTGCCACATGCTGCACACCACACAGTTTGAGTCAAACTCCTGGATCTGCATGCTGAAGCTGTGCTCATCCTAACTTGCATCCAGCAGGCTTGTAAGAACAGCCCTATTAGTAGCTGGAATAGTTTGCATCAGCCTCTACCTGTAGTACTGAAGTACAACCATGGGCGTTACATGATGTGGCTACTCAAGCAGGGTGGGATCGTCCGCTCGGACCAAGACAGTAAGCTGTGTGTTGCAGCTTATTTCCATGCACGTGTGTGCATGTACTGAATTGGCAATGGGAGCTGTGACAGAATGGTGGGCTGTATGTGGTTCCCTTGATTAAAACATGCCAGCGCTGGGGCCTCTTCTGTCAAAGGCTTGGTGTGTGGGGCTTCCTCAAGGTTTCTTAAGAAAGGCTTTTCAGTGTTTGAGGTATTCAGAATGCCTTGGAACAGCACTGCTAATCCTCAGGAACTGTAAAGAATGGCAGTAGCATGCTCAGCAGAATGCAACACTACAGCTTACAGGTTACCACGGAACTGGAAATTAGATTTAGTTGTAAGCTTTTCATTAGTACAAGCGTCCAAGTGACCTTGGGCAATTTCTTCCCCTTGCTTCTGTTCCTTTTTCTATCTTTTCTATCCTTACTGTCAGAACAGAGTGCTTTCCTGGCAAGAATTGTCTGTTATTTTGTGACCTCCAGCGGGAGGAGTGTGTACTCTTGGTTCACACCTATAGACACTTCTGCAATGTTAGTGAAAATAAGCTTTCACAGAACAGCATAATTGTGATCTTTCAATATCCAGTTAGTGTGTAAACAGTATTCAGATAAGCCTTGGAGGCCCTGTCAGGGAACTGGTAGGCATGTTACACTCAGCTTCGTAGCTTTGCTGCTGTGTTTCTTGGTTGTGATGGACTTGCTCCATGAGGACACTGACAAGCTTAATGACTGCCAGGTTCTTCTCCGTGTAAAATCCTCCGGCAAAAGCAGCATGCAAATATAAAACACATCTTCAGAATGGCTTCAACCTTTAGAAGTTTGGGTGTGAATAAGTGTGTGACCAACAGCAGCAGAATGCCTGCAAGAAATGCTTTCTTGGTATGCGTTTTGAATTCTCTCTCTTCTAGGCCTGAAGGTGTGCAGACAAGCCTCTGAAATTGGCCTTTTAGTGCTCAGGTGCTCTCTCTTGTAACAAATACACTCATGCCTTGATGTTGTGCCAGTGCTTCTCTGCGTCTGCAGTGAATGACTTCATCCTAAACTGGTGGCAGCAGCGATGGCACGCAGGCTGCCTGCTTGTACCGCCTGCTTTGAGGTACCTGCGTTCTGGGAGCAGCTCAACAGATATTTGTCTGCAGATTTTGTGTGCAGTGAGGTTGTGCCGTTGTTTGAGTTATTCTTAACACTGCACATCTTGCACCTGGGAGGAGCTTTTGCTACTGAAATTGTCTCTGAGTCTCCAGGACAGCTTGTGTAAGTGAACGTAGCAACAGTGGGCTTCTTTAATGACTTGTGCTTCTATTCTGATCTCAAATGTGTATTTTGAGTTCACATCTAAACTTTTAATGTGACAATTCAAATGCTACGATTTGTGATCATCATTGTAGAAGACTCTCTTGCTCACACCTATGGAGTGTTTCTTTACTACCAGGAACAGTACAAAGCATTTGCTTTCTGACCAAAAGAAGTGACAAAGCTCAGAGTGAAGATAGCAAGATAGCCTGTTGATACTTGTAACTACTAGCTCCTGTTTTGGGATGACTTTCATATAGTTGAATAACTTGAGTCTGATATTTTTGTTTTCCTTGACCTTTGTTAGCATCTCTCTGCTGAGATCTCATCTCTAATGTAGTGGTTCCTTGTATGTCTTGTGGGGATGGTGACTCTGTAACCTGTCAGAAGGGTTCTGATAGCTGCTGGTGTGTTCAGTCTGAACTCTGAGCCCCGGTGCAGGTATTTGTAATGAACCTGAGCAAATGTAACAAGAAAAGCTGTGTCATGCTTTCTTGGACAGGTGGAGCATATGGCACTTAAAGTGACTGGGAATGTGTTGGAATTGCAAATCCTCCTGCCCTTTCAGGTGACAGGGACAGGGCCCAAATACAGCCTTACGTTTACTTAAATTGCCATGTCAACTCTGCTAAGCATGATGCAAAGTGGTATTGACTTGACTTCACATAACATTTTTGTCTCAGCCAAGCCTGGCCAGTGTATATCTTCCACTTGAGAAAGCAACCTCTCTACCCCAAGTCCCAGACAAATCCTATGACTGGTTTCAATGAACATGTTTCCATTTCAGTGAAGGCAAATGTCTGCTTTATTAAATGCTATTTTATTAAAGAGCTGTGTGAAGATCAAGGAAGCATTAGTCCAGTAAGTCCTGTATTATTCACAAAATCTCCCCAGGTTCCTAAAAATCTGAACAATAAGTGACACTAAAAGTTGGGCTGGTGGATGACTTTGGAGATATGCTAGATTGCATAGAAAGAACTGATAACTGCAGAAATAACTTGTTGATTTGGTTACTGATTCTGTCTGTAATATTTCTTTGAGCTTAGACAAATCCAGCAATTTCACATGGCCTGCTCTGACCCTAGAGTTTTTCCTACATTGTACATATATTTGATGTTATTAGATTTGCTTGAAGTAATCGTTAGGAATATGTAGTCTTTCTTTCCATAAGATCAGTAGTGCTTTCTTGCTGACGAGCTTTTTTTGAGGATAATAATTCCAAATATATTGCACTCAGTGTAAAGCCCTGTAAGTGTTAATTGAAACAGATTGAGGTTTGTGCCTTCTGTTAGAATGTTATTCAGAATGATAGAAAATAAGCTCTATACAGGACTCTTTTTGCTCAGGCATCACAAACACAAATCTTACCATAGGCTGCAGTTATACAAGATACTTTTTCCTTCAGATTTATAGCTGGCAACGGATGTGGTACGTGTTGGTAACTGTTGGTATTCTAATGGCAGCTGTGATGAGTGAGAACAAATGCTGATATAATCAGTGTGGAGGATGACGTGCGTATGGAATAGTCCAACTTGGGTATGACTGAGCTACTAATTTGAATGCAGTCATGTTCTTTTGAGTCTGTTGGTGGCTGTTGGCTGGTGTGCATGGTATGGTGGGGACAGGGAAAAAAATACAATCAGGGAATTTCTATCTCTGACCTCGTAAGCTAATAATGTGTATTATGAAAAAGACTGAAAATTGCCGTGGAAGATTCTGTCTTGGAGACTTGTTATCTCACGTGTAGTTCTTGAAAGAAATACTGATTTGATATATATTGATTCTTACAATTCTAATACCTGAAGTACGAAGTTTCTGGTCAGTATGGGAGTGTTTGCATGTCCAGGGGGCTGGAGCATCTCTCTTTTGAGGAATGGCTGAGAGACCTGGCACTGCTCAGTTTGGAGAACATTGAGGAGAATCTTATTGCTACTATGTAAAGGGTGAAAGGGTGGGAGTCAAATGGCTGGGGCTGGGCTCTTTTCAGTGGTGCCCAGTGACAGAACAAGGAGCAATGAGCACAAACTGGAACAGGAAGTTCCATATGAACACAAGAAAGAAATTCTTTAAGGTTTATAGAGCACTGAAACCAGCTGCCCTGAGAGAGGTGGTGGAGCCTCCTTGAGATGCTCAGCCCTACTTTCTTGTGCCGCTGCTGTAGGGAACTGCTTTGGAGGGGTTGGACTGGGCTTGCTCCAGAGGTCCCTTTCACCCCCTGTGGTTCTGGGATTCTGTGAACTGTGGTGCTATCTCCTCTGCCCAGCTTGTGTTTCTTCATGATTACAAAAAGTAGCTTCTAAGATGAACTGCAATGGAGGTTGTTGAAATGAAATTGTGTTGTGGAAAAGGCATTGCAAGGATTGTGGTAGATACAGCGTGGGAAGTCATAGTAGTGAAAGCCCAGCTGGACAGTAAAATGGTCCAGCAGGAGGTGGGTTATGCAGGGCCTACCTGTTGCCTGTGAAAGAGTTAATTGTGGGCTTTCCTTTGTAACAGTCAATGGAAAAGTTAAGACTGAGCCCGGATTGTCAAAAATTTGTTAAGTAGTTAGAATACCTCAAAGATTTTATTTTCCTTTTTTTTTTTTTTTTTTTTCTTCTTTTCCCTGCCAACCATTTGAATTGATGGTGGGTCATTTTGCATCATGCAAAATAGCCTCGGTGACTCACAGAGAGTTGA